GCTCTCAGCATCTCCCCTCACTCTGCTTCCCTCTATCACATGCAATGGGGGAAATTTATAAAAGCAATTGCAACAGTTTTAGCCTCTTAGATAATTTTATTTAATGTGCAAATCTGTCTTTCAACATGTGCCCCTGTTTTGACCTGAGCTTACACTACTTTTTTAACTGCACATGTTTTGCACCTGTTTTCTTCAGAGCTTGCACTACCTTTCCAACTGCACGTGTTTTGCACCTGTTTTCTTCAGAGCCTACACTACTTTCCAACTGCACGTGTTTTGCAATTGTTTTCTTCTGAGCTTACACTACTTTCCAACTGCACGTGTTTTGCAATTGTTTTCTTCTGAGCTTGCACTACTTTTTCAGTTGCATATTTTTTGCACCTGTTTTCATCTGCACTTGTTCTGGGCTGTCTAAAACTGGAGCATCACCTAAGAAAACAATCACAACTTAAGAAGTCCCCATGACCACTTCTTCAAGAGGCGACAGTTAAGCTTTTTGCCTGGAGTTACAAGTCTTCTTTCCTGGACTCTATTTAACCTCATTTATCAACCACATTACACCAGCATCATAAATTTGGTGCAAATATATTCTGTGCAAGTTCAAACACTCGCAATTGCTATGATAAATTCCCCCCACGGTGTTTAAATGAGGGATTGGAAGGTGGGAAGGCTATCAAGTAACTGCTGGGAAGGGGTAACAGGATGTGCTGACCTGCCTGAAAAAATAACATTGTGCTTCTGCTGTTTAGTTTGAGGATAAATTGTTATATAGTGCATGCACTATATAACTAAAAATAGTTGGTACGGAATTTGCAAAATACTGCATTACTTTTTTTATGTATAAGAAAAATGCCAAACATATTTCTATCATTTGACTTCTTATGGAAACCCCGTAATTGTCTTGAAACAAAATGTCTCAAATTCAGACAGGTATCCTACAGAATAAAAAAAAAACTATTTGTTATTGTTTTGGGTCGGATTTATTTTTTTTATTTGACAAAAAAACATGAAATACATAAATGACATGGATGCGCCACAGAACAGATAAAAACTGCGCTGGTCCTCAAGTGGTTATTTGTTGTGTTGTCAAAAATGTGTACGATGTTCTTTAAGGGATATTATTTAATAAATTATGTTTGTACATGTTTGTGTTCACTAACAAGCACACATACTGTATACAGAGTCAAATACATATGAAACAGCACGGTAAGCTGTTTTATTTGATTTTTGTTTTTTTGTGAAGGGGTTCATTGTGGTATGGAAGACATTTTATTCTGTTATCCTCGCCTGCATTATACTAACACAGATGTATTTAGTCAACATATTTGTAATGACAAATGTAATATCACTTCTGACAGGTTGCATCATTTCTAGCAGTTACTTACCCCCTGCTGCTTACAACTTTAGGTTTTGAAATTTCAACGAGATTATCCAAATCTTGACTTCTGTAACCAAAAATACAGTTACAAAAAGCAATGATTATTCACATTCACAACCCCAAACTTGAGATGTTTCCCAAGTGACAACAAAACATGGATGTATGTACTTAAATTTTACTATCAACACAGTCATATGCAGTTGTAGGGTAGCCAACAATATTTGACCTTGGCTAGGGTATGTACAGCCAATATTCAGCTGTAAATGAGAACTCTGTGACACCATACAAATCCCACCAATCATCCGAGAGGTTAGCTAGTAGGTAGTCTAACTGAGTTTACAAGGTCATGTTAGATAACACTTGACAAGTGGCATAATTTCTAGACATAACTGACCCTTTCTGTTTACAACGTTAGAGCTTGATACCCCAATGAGATTAGGTCGGAGATAAAGTGAGCCTGTTGCCAGACTATGGCCTTTCAGGTATTAAGACAGAAAAACTTTAAACAAACAAGCCTTCACTGACATATGTAACTGCAGG